TAATAAGTTGACAGGCACTACTTTAGCCCTTGTCCTGCCTGACCTTCTTTACATTGAATGGCTAACAATCTAATGCATATAAAGGCTGACATTTTAATAAGGCTTCTTAATAATACTGCTGTTTACAAGTAGACTTCACCCACATATTAGTATTGGAATCATCATACATGTACCTTCAAGTTCCAAGTTAGTATAAGTATTTGGTAGTATTGGGTTATTATTTGCTTGTTTTGGGTGATATAAGGGGTCAAATGCATGGAACAGCCAGACATCGGTAATCCCATATGAAGTACATTTCCCACAATTTAACTCGCTATTTTTGAAAAATTCAAGTAATATGCCCATATTGTATCATTATGTTGTAGTATTGGGCAGTATGTGATGATAGTGGGGTAGTTACCATCCTGGCCTTGGCCGATCTCAATAGACTCTGTATATTGGAGACGATCTTTCAGTCTCGGGGTAATAGTGTGATGGCATCAGTGTTCGACACAAATGTCGGTCCGTAGGCCCGAGGCCGACTGATTTATCGGAGGACTCCTGCTTGGCTATTTCACTCGGGTCTGCCGGGCCTTCGTCTTCTTTCTTATCTCGCATAGTTAGTGTTCACATACGACAATTTGGGAAATGCTAGAACTGTCATAGGAACGCAACCTCCGAGTCTCCGATAGTTGACGGTTATTGTTTACTTGTCATCGACATGACGGAAGCTGCCGTTTTTCCAAACATTGACTCGCGTAACCAGCCTTTGATTTGTAACTGTTTTTTTGTCGGCTTTAGCCGCTTGAACTTTAAACAAGCCCATTGGTAAAAACCATGAATCGGCCACTATGGTATCAGAAATCAATCTACTTTCGGCTAAAATTTAACGGGTTAATTATTACTTTTTGATTAAGTAGTCAATCAACTTGCTTGTTGGCTACAATAACAGTCATACCTCTCGGTATGGATTGCAAATCTCGCTCGGGAATTGCGTTTCTTCGACGCTCCGTGTAGATTCCAGGTACCGGTAGATAATAAAATAATAATTGGATCATGCATTTAATGGTTTCGCTGACCAGTTGTTACAGAAATTTAAATCTTAGTTGAATATAATCCTCAGATAGAACACCGAATACACCGAGAAACAGTCATTAATAATATATATTTTTCCGACAAAATCTTCAATACCAAATCCGCCGATGACACGTGACATCACTGTCATCAGTTGGAATTTCTAGGTCAATAAGCCAGCGATGCTAGGTTTAGTTTTAAGCAGCGTTTACCGTTATGATTTTTTATTTGATACACATGCTGGCAGAGGCTAAATTTTAAACATATTGTCGTTATTAATATTGAAAACTATATGGCATAGTCATACAGAATTTTATTTTAAAGCAATTTCAATTATGGTTGTCACGTGATCACTGTGCCGTGTGTCTCTCATGGACGAATGAATAAAAACATATTTGCAAGTTACGTGATAGACAAAAACTACAAATTGTGTTATGAAAAATACCACGGTGCTGTATCATTTTATATCCATCCAAAAAATGAAGACAGTAATTTATTCAGGAATATTACTGACACGAATTTCAAGCCGAACGTGAATATGGAAAATTTTCCGAACGGTGTAGCTGTAGGCCTACCTATTATTAAAGGTAATGGAAGCTTATAATTTTAAAACCATTTCCTACGGGACCTCATTTGGCTCAATTCTGGGCTATTGTGCTAACAATCTAGGGCTGGATAAGCTAGTTTATGCCAACGCTATTCCTCAACGTTATCGCCAGGCGTCAAGTTTTTTTGTGTAACTGTTTGAAGTTGACCTAGTTTAATGAGAAAAAACCGTAAATTATGTAGCCATGAATAGATTTGTTTCCATTAAATTGAAATGGAAGTTACTCCTTAGTCCTTCTGTGGTGTACTGGCTTTATATGTACTTCCTTTACTCTGATCGTTCTGCGCTTCGCTTGGAAACTATAAATATTATTATTATTGGTTGGGCCTGCGTGTCACCTGAAGGACCAACATGATCACGTGTAACACAGGTCCTGCGGGCCTGAGCTTGGAAAATGTTTGTTTCGGACACTGGATGGCATCCAAACATTCTGGTTCATTTACCAATGCCCTCCTGAATTAGGGTATGGCACATGCTCTATGTTTAAGTGTAAACCTGGGCATGATGTGCATCTGTAACAGAATTGTAGGAGTGTACTAACCCCAGTTATTTAAAAGCCACAACACATAAGATTGTGTCTTTCAATTTTCCATCCTGACATTTTTGAGAGAATTGATCTGTGGTGTTTTTACATGATCTTGAAACATTACTCTCAGGTATCAACAGACTAGATAATCTCCCGTTCTGGATTCATTCAGATTAAACAGAGATCTAGTGGATGCAGAATGTTGACAAATTCTGAATTAATCATATCAATGTAAATATTGAACAGAATTTAATCATATTCCCTTTAGCGATTCAACTTTAATACTGTCCTATAGTATGCAAGGAATTCAAAAACCCTAAATTATAGTATATAATATAACTGACTGATATGACTAAAACTAAAGAATTTCTGTATAAAACTGGTATTTGACACATGTACATGTATGTCTTAAATTGTTTTCCAGTCTCTCAACTAGGGCCTGGACATGACTGCTTTTTAATATCTGAACACTAACATGTATTTGTATCTAATTTTAACAGTTTTCATTTATCTAAATCCTCAAAAAAAAGAAGCCCATTCCCACAATTCATATTTTATGACCCATTATATCAGATCAGGTCAACATGTCAAGTCAGCTGCTTACAAATCGCTTATTTGCAAACTGTATTTACTGAAGAAAAAGTCGAAAAATCGCTAAGATACAAGAAAATTTGTTTTATGTGGAAATATTTCTCTCTGTTTCCAGCATTACGACAGATGATTATAGAGCAAATTGAATTTCTGTAACCATTTTTTCCAATGTAAATTGCAAATCTGATGTATTCCATTGTGTGAATGTTGCCTGTGGGATTTAAGACAGAAATCTGTTGTTAATCTTGTAACTCAAGGTTGCACACATTTAAACCATAACATGACTCCAGTAACCCTTTATCTCTTCATATATTCAATTTACCACCCAGATCTCTAAACCTGTTTTTTTTTTAGATTACATTTTATAATCTACAGGAGGAATCACCTAGTGGTTTGATTCCAATGTAGAAAATTTGTCTTTTGTAATATAATAATAAATGCATGAAATCTAAAACCTTTGTTCTTTTCAGTGGTGATATAATATTAAAAACAAACCAATGACATTCAAAACCAACACTAACCATCAGATAAAAAAAAATGTATGATAAAAATTAATTAAAAAGGATCTTTAAAAATCTAACATAAGCATGTTTATTCCTAAATACATGTACCTTAATCTTTACAGTTGCAGTAGGTTGCCAAAACATATGAATATGTACATCTTTCAGTAGCCTTGTTACTGAAGCGAAATTTTTGAGAAAAGTAGGCCTATGTAAAATATAATGTATTGGTTATGATGGTGTTTTTATAAGAAAGCACACATTTTGCACAATGTACAAATAAACCTAACATTTGTAAGTTGTCTTACAAGTTTGTTTTTCCAATAATCAAGACAATCGAAACTTAAAAAGATAAGGGACTTTATTCAATTGGAGTCGCGTAAAATCGATTCTACGTTAAAATCCTGGTTTAGAAGAATGACCGTTCACTGTGGTAACCATGGTACAGAGATTTAAAGTCCATATCAATTTTAAGAGATTTAAGTTTTCCTTAAAAAACGGTGCTGGTGATTATTTTGACAATAGGTGCTAGAAACAAGATTTCACAAAAAAGGTTCTTTGATTAACAATAGTTTTCAAATAGATAGAGGTCTGAAATTTGGTTACTTCTATCTCAAAGTAATTGAATAAGAGATATCTCTCAATTCCATGAATTCTTTTATTCTTTACTATGCAAGGCAGTTTCCAATGAAAGGGAATTTTCCTAAAAATTACTCAGACTTTAAGAAACAAACTTTATTCATCTGTTGTCCGCACCCCAAATATAATCCCACCTGCAGTTAATTCGTACATTATCTAAAACCAGTGTCAACAAATCCTGCAGATCAAAGTTTTAAAAAAATTCATTATATGAACTCTGTCCTTGGATTTGTTAACAAAATGGTGAACGAAAATATGATTTGAAATTTAAGTTTATATACCCAATAACAATCTCACCATGTTTTTAAATATTCGATTGAGAACTCTGTCCTGTACAGTGTTCACAAGATTTTATAAATCTGAATATCAATGGGTGATAACTTGTGATAAGATTCTTTCATATACACTGTAATCCAATGAAAAATAACTGCAAGTTTGAAAAAAAATCTGCCAAGTAGAAGCACAACAAACTGCTGGATGGGGGTGACAACAATGTACATCCATATGTAGGCTTATAATAAAAAGACCAGTCTGATTAAAATACAGATCTATATTTCGTTTCGTTTTTTTATACTTTCGAAGGCCTACACTACATGAAGATCTGACCGGTTGTAGTGATAGGTCGCATCAGAGGTCATACGAGCTGCTTTTGACTCTACCACGTCAGACATTTGATCAACCGATCAGCATTGATGTTTCTAGTGGATTACCCACAGTTCCGGGCACCAAACGCCAAAAGCTAGCTGTAACAGACCGTTTCATTGGCTAAATCATCAAATCATCCAGAACACGTCAATGATAACAACTCTTCCAGATCCTTGTGTAGTAAAGACAAATAAAACGAAATTTTGAACTATAAAAAACGAAACGAAATAGGATCTGTGTTTTAATCAGATTGCAAAAAGACCAGAAAAAGAAATATCTCTTTCAAATTTGACGCATATCGGTACATATCATGTGACTCTAGCTGCTTCTGCCATTCTTTTCACGTTTGACATAATACACTACTTGCTAGAGTTGGTAAGTGGTTTAACATATAATACAAGAAAGTCTTAACGTGAAAAATTGATAAAACATAACTCACCTTGGATCATCCATGTTGAAAAGCAGTGATGGCACAATTTTATCCATGTGGACCGGATCCCATATATTCACTTGTAGATCATCGCTAACTGTCTTCCGAACTAATCCTTGTAACCCATGGAGACCAGCTCTTCGTATCCTACGGCGACAACAAAACACAGATAAAATCCTTGTAAAATACATGATTGTTTGATAATGGCTATTTAATTCTCTTCAAACTTTATAAATCTTCAAAACTTAGCAGTTCAAATATGTCAGTTCTGTTCCTCGATTCTCAGTTTTTGTTATCATTCCAAGGATTTCCAAATAACATTGACACAATTTTCTCCAAATTTCCAAATCGAAATCATGATTATATACACAAGCTTGTGTCATTGTGTCACTTCATTATTTTCCATAATTGCAAACAATTCTTTATGCTCCTTCTCGTAGTGAGTTATTCTGGATTCCTTTAGAGACATGTATTGGCTGAATCAATATGATAATTAAAGTATTTAATAGCTGTGTCTATGTACATGTTGGAAATAAATCAATACCAGTATTCACTAAACCATTTATTCCACGTCTAAAATAACAAAAACTTGTCAAAAAATATATGTCAAATATTCTTTTATATCTGCCTTGACCCTTAGTAGCCATGGCAGACATAGAGTTATTATTGACATTGACAGCATTAATCCATTTCATCTTTATCCTAAACTTTCAAATCCTAGCAATTTATATTTTCTTCCAAGAATAAATGTCGAAGGTCAGTATTTATAAAAAATAAGGCAACACAAATACTGAGAATAAAATGGGTGAAGGAGGAAGAGATAAACAACACCACAGGGGCAATAACTTAAAAAGACATCATGTGTGATATTCACCTCTGATAGTAAGTATTCTTACGACACCTACTTATTTTTTACATCTTCGAATTCCAATAGTTTACAAGGCTTAAGTGATGAGGTCAATAACCCTGTGAAAAATCGTTGCATGACACTTTGTTTCAATACAGATATTCCTATAAGGGAGACTCGGATATATTTTAGTAAATTGTTGGTGAATTATGTATGAAATCTCTTAATAATGTTCCTGTGCAACTCTGATGCTCCAGGATACCTTCTTTATGGAAATCTAACCATTCAGTCTCCATGCTATAAAAATGCCTGGATAACCATGTCTACATCTACTTGTCAAAGTTATACTTGTAAGTTAAAGCTATACTGTTTAGTTATCCGCATGATTATCAGGTACTCATACAAATGAGCAATGAATTCCATAATGAATTACGTAACCCTGTTGAAGATCTTTATCGAACAGCACTATATTTTGATTGGAATCAAATGATAACTGTGTTTGATTTACATACTTAAAGCCAAGCTTATCATTCAATGAATACCTTGTGAAATCTTGCTTAAAAAGCTTTTTTTTCAAAACTTAACAAGGTTTCTTTTACTCCAAACGCAAAATAAAGTTTAACAACCAACATGAAGAGAAAGTCAAGTTTAACAACCAACATGAAGAGACTGTCAAGTTTAACAACCAACATAAAGGGAATGTCAAGTTTAACAACCAACATGAAGAGAATGTCTAGTTTAACAACCAACATGAAGAGAATGTCAGTACAATACATTATTACAAGAAGGAATTGATTGTGATAAGTTTTTAATTAAGTTTTAATTATTTATTAACATACAAAGGACCCTGGGCAAATCAGATAAAAAATGTCATTAATTATCTACTGTTTATAAAAAATGTACAAAATGACCTATACAATAATTATTTGTCCAGATTACAATAACATGTTTTCAACTTTTAATTTTTATAGAGGAAAAACCGGTGCATATTCAAGCTCAAATATTTACAAGGCCTTTACAAATAAGTCTATATTTGTGGGAAATGAAATGGGTGTTTAAGATCCTAATTTTCTGCACCAATGTTTGTGGGAAATGAAATGAAATTTAGCATCCAGCTTACCAGCACCTACATTTGTGGGAAATGAAATAAAGTTTAACAACCTGCACCAACATTTGTTGGAAATGAAATAAAGTTTAACAACCTGCTTCTCTGCACCAACATTTGTGGGAAGTCTTTATACCAACATTTCTCTCCACAATAGTTATGTGTAAATCTTGTTGGACCTACACTCCAAATTTACACTGATATCAGGTTTTCGAAATGCAGGGATGGGAGGAAAACTGTTATTTTTACACTACGCTGTCTGACAATGGATCCTCATTACTTCGTAACTATCCGATTTGTTAAGTGTGTTTCCACTGCGGAAAAGCATCAAACCTAGAACCAAGTTGGCTTCCATGGAAACACTTTGACCTGGCTCTTTTTTGTATTCGGCATTTACTGTTACGTACACTAGTACTTCTTTCATTATTTATTTACTATTTAGTCTTAATTAACCCAATTAATGATCTTTTAGTTACCAGATGTCTTGTTTATCAAAACTACATTTGATCGGGAACAAGATAATTTAATGGAAATGCAAGTCGGGCGACAATGAAGCCACATCAACCTGCTTTTTTACATTCAGTTTCATCTTAGTCAAATTTAGATAAATTCACTTATTTTAGTTCATCTCATAGCATTACAGGGCTATGAATCCATTATCATATTGATTGCCATATTGGTTACATAATTTATTTATTGTCTGATATTACCCAGAGAATAGTAACTATAGAAATTGTCATTGTTTCTTCAGAGGCATTCTTTATTTGTTATCAACACTGTTGTTTTTATATACAGTTGAAGAAGTGTAATCATTTGAACACACTACACAGGCATGAATCATGATTTATATAATATTCAACTATAATAATCAATTATCTATGCTTCATGAAAGTAAACAACACAAAGTCTTTATAAAGTGTAAAATCAAAATCTTGGTTCACTCAATACATTATGTGATTTTCATACATAAAAATATATCTGCAAATAAACCTTCCCCAAGCTGGCTTATCTTGGCCAATTACAAGAACTGCTTAAAAAAGCTGTATTATATTGGTCACTTTAAAGATCAGTTTAAAACTGCTAGATTTAGGTAGCTTGAGACATGAACATTTCACCACTGTTTGTAACTTCTGACTATCATTGTCAGAACAGTTTAACAGGTTAAAACTTTTGAAACTAGTTCATTTTATAGTACTAGTATTCTCTTTGTAATTATAACATGTAGTTTTTATGTATGTAGTTCTTTAATATATATTGCGTAGTGATCAATATATCATATTGCTTAACATATAAACAAAGCAGTCAAATACAATCTAGTTTATAACATAAGTTTAAATACTATAATATTAAAACCTTTTAACAAATTTTACCAAGATAAGAAAGATATTTACAGATCAATATAACAGAATTCCAGTAAGCCAACAGGTATTAAGCAAAGCATTAGATAAGACACAGTTAGAAAATTAAATGTTTTTATCAATATCTAGACTGTCGTAAAGAAGACGAATTCAACACTAATTTATATTCAGACTAGAATACTGATTACTAGGATACAATAGTGTAATTAACATCTGATCACCTCTTTATTAGATTCGAATCTAACATCCTCAGGTGACCAATGAAATAAACCCTGTCGAGAAGCTCAAGAGAAAAGATTTTGTAGTTAACTGTTAATGCATGCACCTGTAGGAGTATTCAGATTTCAGAAGTGATTAGTGGTAGTTGTGCTATCTTGTTATATGATACCTGACAAATAATTTACTTTCCATTCCAATTAGCAGACTAACAGTATGAATATTTGAAAATGGAATACATGATTTGGAATCATGGTAAGGTTGATATTATTTGTTTTAACCATATAGATCTACACATTCATTGACAACACAGTCCTCCTACAAAAAATTCAATTAGCCTACCCTACCGTAGTTTAAACATACATTATGCAAGAGCTAAATCTGCAAATTGCAGGTCTTTCTTTAGGCCTGAAATGTTATCTAAATTATTAATTAGACATCAATTAACTTATCTAGACCATAATCAACTCTCGATGCCATCGCTAAGCCTGCAATATTTACTGGATCAGAAACCGGTCTGCTGCTTCTGATTAAATGAAAAAATGGATAATTGAGACTGTGTTTTTTATCGTACCGATTTTAGTTATGAAGATCAAGGCTAGGCCAAAATTTCAATCGCTAAATTCTCGGTTTAGAGTAAATCAATTTGACTGAAATTTTCAGAAAATTCCCGTTACATTATCTAGTTTTTAACTATTATAGTGAGAACTGCCAGCTCTTTATCTAATCTCCCATAATGTATCTTTAACAAGTTTCAATCAATTATGTCACAGCTTCACTAAGGTTTTTAAAGGATTTCCAAAAATCATTGATGCTCAAAATCTTATCTCAGTCTTTGATGCTGATGCTCAAAAAAGTATATCTGAGTCTAACCCTTGATGTTTAAAAATTATAGCTCAGTCTAACCTTTGATGCTCAAAATTTATATCTTAGTCTAATCTTTAATCCTCAAAAATTAATCTTAAGTCTAATCTTTGATGCTCCAAAATTATATCTTAGTCCAAAAATCAATGACGATGAAGAATTGTATTTCAGCCTAATATGCTCAAAAATTATATCTTAGTCTAATCTTTGATGCTCAAACATTATATCTTAGTCTAATCTTTGATGTTCCAAAATCATATCTTAGTCCAAAAATCATTGATGATCAAAAATTGTATTTCAGTCTAACCTTTGATGCTTTAGAATTGTATTTTAAACAGTCTTACCTTTGATGCTTTAAAATTGTATTTCAGTCTAAATCTTTGATGCTAAAAAATTATAACTCATTCATAAATATCTAGAGAAGTCAGAGCTGAAGACTGACACTGTTAGTGTTATCACTAAAACAGTATCAAGACTAGTAAGAGAAATCAATAAGAATGTGATCTACGATGTTTGGTATCAATAAGTACTCACAGATTAGCCTACCAAGACCTTCTACTAGTAAATCTAATCCCTTGTAGTAACACTCAATAAAATCATTCAATATTACCAACAAACCACCCTTGCTAAAAATCCACTTGGTAATGAAGAGAAATTGATGTACATGTATATGCTTCTCAATGAGTTGATTTTATTATAAGTAGTGATGACTGTGCACAAGGCAAGTTATACTTCTGATACTCTTTCAATTTCAAAA